ACCATGATGATCTATCTCGTTTTTTAGTTCTTCAAGTACCTCATCACTGAGAGGACAAGGAACAATCTGTTCCTCTGATTCTTCTTGTGGTTCTTCTTGATCTGCTATCCCAAGATCTTCCACGCCAGACATTTCAGATACTTCACTCTCAATTGTTGGATCAAACAGGTCTTTCACGGCAGTTCTCTCAGTACCAAACAGTTCTAAGGCCCTTGAAACAAACAGCTGATGTGGTGACATGTGACCCTCACTCCTCAACCCATGGTGGTTCCACTGTGACTGGAAAAGACTCAAATCAGAGTTGATTCTTGGCAAAAATACAAAATGTAATGCCCACAAGTGGATGGCATTACCTAATCCGAACAAGTGCTCACTTTCCATGTAGGTAAATAGATCATAGTATAGGTTAGTGACTCCTTTCCAGACGTCCACCCACAGACGTTCCACTCTTTGATTGTGTACACTTTTTCCTTGTATAGCACTACCTCTATTCTCCCCTCTTTTGTCCACCATGTATCTACACACAGACACATTCTCCCTACCCATATCACACCGAACACGTGATGGAAGACCATACTCTTCCACTCCCTTTTTAAAAAGACCTAAGTCTGTGGATGCCTTGTTGTTGTTTCTGGCTGCCAGATAGATATTGACTCTGCTGTAGCCATGCATTTATACAGCCATGAATTACAATGTTCCACCCGAAACTTAGAAAAAGACAGGAATCTTGATGAAAGAGAGATGAAATAATCTAAGAAAAAAAAAAACGCGAGATTCCAGTATTGTTGTTGAAAACACTATTTCTCTAACAAGATTTAACTAACATAAAAAAATAACAATTACAAATCATTAATATTTTATGCCCTATCCTAGTACATGTAAATGGATATAAAGAAATTAAATTTCATATATAAAGCATTCTATCAAGTTAAACACTGACATGAAATGAAATGGAATTTTCATTCTTTATTAGTTATTTTACCTGATCAGTCTATGGTTTCCATCAAAATGCCGCAAAGAATTTGGCCCGGCTACTGAATATGTTCTTCTAATTATCGGTGTTCTCATACTACGCACAATGGCTCCAGCAGGATCTATTTCATTCAAAACTTCCCTTATCCGTCTTCTTTGAATTATGATACCTTGACTTGCCAGTCTAGCTCTCACCGCATTTGGACCAATCTGTTGGTTCTCTCCAGTAATATTCTTTATCATATTCTTTAGATATTCATCACTCACTGGTGTATATTTTTTGACCAAACTGATATTCCCTATAACCAATGAAAAACACATGCAATGAATGTTTTTTAAAAACCTTTTAAAACTTTTTATTTTTACATGATCAAATAATTGTTCCCGGTCTGCCGCTTTTACACCAATATTTATGCCAGAAACTTTAATCTCGCTTATAACCTTTAAAGTAAAAACTGTGGAGCCTTCACACACACTTGTCAAAAGGGTGGACTATTATTAGATCCATCGTCGGAAACCCACGGTCGGTCTCGCTTCTCTTACCTCCCGTGGGACACAAGGCCGAAAATTTCGCTTGGAGGTGTGTCTCAATACCGCATTTTCATTGGTCGCAATACGATACCGTATTGCGATGTGTAGCTTTTAATTACCCAATAAAAATCATCGTTGCAACCCGTATGTCGGGAAGGATTTTGCAAACAATATGGAGACGTACGAGGCGAAAGTGAAAGAAATTTTTCAAATAAACGAGCTAAAAGACTTTCAAAGAGAGTCTTTGGCAGCACTGCTGAAGAAAAGAGATGTTTTTCTGTCTATCAAAACCGGAGGTGGGAAAAGTATTTGCTACCAGGGTTTTCACACGGCACATAACGCTAGTTTTGACGACAACAATCCGATCTCAGTTTTGGTCGTCTCACCTCTACTTTCCATTATGCATGAACAGTGCAATTCATTGAATAGTTTAGGATTTCTTTCAGCATTTATTGGTAAGCAGCCTACTTTTATATGACCTATTTATCTACATAAACTATATATACAGTGTAGATGATGAAACTCATTTTTTGATAACATGTAAAAAATATGATCATCAAAGGAAAGAAATTTTTCAGTCAATTAAATTTCCGAATTTCTCGGCGTTAGATGGTGAACAAAAACTTTTTTGGTTACTCAATACTGAAGACAAAGACACTATTAATTTTGTGGGCAAATTCATAAATGATAACATGTAGCCATACACTTTAATATATAGTATTCCTTTTCACTGAAATAGTGCAATATTATTGTTGAAATGAGCAATGTCATTTACAAATTATTATACTATCAATTGGCATATCTTTTCCTTATTATTGTAATAATTTCATACTTGTCTGTTATGGGCTCTAAATTTATAAAATAAATGTTCTGTTCTATAATGTAATTGTATTGACATGCATGGGCATTGGCCATGTCGATCTCACTCACTTTTCCCCTCTGCTATGTTATGTGATGATTCAGAACCCCTCTATTAAACATTCATGTTTCTGTATCTGTGTGCGTCGTAGCACTCAATACTGGTTTTTATACGACAGGAAACATGTAAATGTTGATTTTTTTTCTGACATTTTTATTTATAAAAAATTATATCAAAACAAACATTTTCCCAGGTACATGTATTAGTATATTGTTAATTTAACTATTCCTTCATGATATAGGTGGTGAAAACGACGATTCCATATTAAGAAATGAAATGCAATTCATTTTCACCTCACCTAAAAGTGTGCTAAATGGAAAGTGGAGAGATTGGGTGACAAACAATTCAACCATTAGATTAATAGCTGTAGATGAAGCCCACACAGTGTTACATTGGTAAGTTTATTTATGAAGGGAAAAAATGATGCATTGTTACAATCCATCAAAATTTGAGCAATTCAAACAGGGTTTAAATTATTCCTCTCATTTTTTAGGGGAGAGTCTGCGAGCGAGGAAGACCCTTTCAGACGTTGGTATGGTCGATTAGGGGAACTGCGAAGCCTTGTGGAATGTCCTGTAATTTTGATGACTGCCACAGCAAATTCAGCTGCCAGGAAAGCCTTACAGAGAAAATTTTGTATGACAGACTGTTTAGAAATTATAGAGAACCCAGACAGGAACAATATTAAATTATTTTTACAGTGTGTTAAATACAACACTCCACTAGAGAATACATTCTTCTTTCTAATTCTGATGTTGAAAGAGAAAAGGGAGCTCTGTGATAGGAATCTGAATTTTTGCCCTGCTATCAGAACATGTAGTAAATTGTACACTATGTTTAGAATTATGTTTAAAGAAAATGTTAAATTGATTGACCATGTCGAAATGTATCATTCAAAAACCACAGATGATGTTAAACAATTAGTAAAAGAGGATATGTCTAAAGAAAATGGCAAAATTAGAATTCTTATTGCTACCAGTGCAGCTGGTATGGGTGTGAATTTCAAAGGAGTGAAATATACAATTAATTATGGTTGCCCCCGAGATATGGATACTTTTGTTCAGCAGTATGGCAGAGCAGGTAGAGACGGTGGCTCAGCAATGTCTTTATTGATTTACACAAAACGTGATATTAAATGTATAGATGATGACATGAAATTATATGTTAAAAATGAAACCATTTGTCGCCATGAGAATATATTGTCTTCCTATAAGAGTAAACCTGCTATGGATAGGGACATGCATATGTGTTGTGATATATGTGATAAGAAGTGTCATGTGAAAGATTGTGAAAAATGTAGTTTAGCACAACATCCTTATTATAAAACTCAATTTCCAGCTTTTTCTTCAGATTAAAGTAGCCAGGATGATCATGACTTGTTTACAGATTCAGATTGGGAGTAAGCATTAAGATGTAATACATGTAATTCAAAGTATCCTTAAAAAATATGGACGAATACATTGCTGCATTTCATAAATCAGTCAGTATTCTTGTATAATTTTGCCAATATATATTGTCAGCCTTTGTGATAGACCTATTTTTTAAAAATATGTTAGGGTTCATTTAAATCTGTGATAAGACACATTTTCACTGGGATACAGAAACTTGGGAAGAGGCACCATTCCTCATTATAACTATGTACTTAGATCATCAGCATAATACCCAGGAGCAGAGGAGAAGATTTTCAAAGAATTAATGCATTTTCACTATATAATCATTAGAACCCCGCCTAACACCAGAACCCCTGACCCAGGGGCCTTGAAATTCAAAATTCTTGATGAAGCACCATTGCTCATCATAACAATGTAATTAGATCACTGGGATTATACCCAGGAACAGAGGAGAAGATTTATTAAGAATTAATACATTTTCACTATATATTCAACAGAGCCCCGTCCTAGCACCAGAACCCCTGACCCTGGGGCCATGAATTTCACAATTTTGATTGAGGGCTCATTGCTTATTACAATCATGCCAACACTAATTTTAGTGGTTTTGGCCCCACCCCTCAGGCCCCAGGGGGGCAAGGACCATGAAATTCACATTTTTTGTTTCCTTCACCCATAGATGCTATATGCCAAAACTGGTTGAAATTGGTTAAGCGGTTTCAGAGAAGAAGCTGAAAATGTGCAAATGTTAACACACGATGCACAACTGACGAAACAGATAGCAATATGTCACCTGAGTGACTCGGGTGACCTAAAAAAAAATATTTATTTTCAAAAATCATTAGTATTATAAACAAACTTTTTTATGAGAGAGGAAGGATGAAGTTTAATTTAAACCCTTAATTGAAAGCACTGAAACAAGTTTTTGTTTATACTTCAAATTTATGAATCAGTTTGTACTCCTTTAAAGCTTGTACATATTTTATTTGTTTTATATACGAGGTTTATACATACATGTATATGTTCAACATGGTAAATTGTCATCTTTATAACATCTACCTCCTGTACCATTACATATATAATGGTGTACTGATCAAGCTATACTACTGCCATTTTTACAATAAATGCTTCAACTTGAATCTGATTTTGTTTTTAGAAAATAAAACACACTGAGTTACTATGTCACAACAAAACTGACAGAGTTAGATAAACAGATGGACATTGTAATTCCCATTTCATGCTTGGCCCTAATAAGTTTACATGTACAAGTCAGCAATGTTCTTTTGTTCATGTATCCATTCATGTAATTTAAGAATGTCAATTTGGTGAATCGGATCTTTAAATTTGGAGAAACTCTCCCAGCAAAGATCTGACACTGGTCCTTTGCTTCTCAAAGATTTAACCATAGTAATGATATCAACTGTTTTATCAACATCCGGCCTGTGTCTTGACGACTTCACTATTTTGGTAGTCCTCAAAAGCTGATCTTTAATGCTGTCAATGACTTGTGTAGTCATGCAAATTGTTTTTGCTGATTGAAAGGATTTATTTGCTCCTTGTGTGTTGAGTTCTCTCTTGATGTTGCACACTTGCAGTTCTACACAGTTGTCATTAAGGATATTGTTGTAAATGCCGCCCTTCAGATTTACAGTCATATTCCACATATACTCAAATGCCTGGTCAGGTGGAAGAATAGAATTAACATATGTGAGCATTCTCCACAACCAGATCTTATACTTTGAGTGACTTAAAGCAGAGGCATACAACCACTCAAACTTGGCATTACGCATGATACGGTCCCCGTCACCCATTTTGTATGCATCACAGGTATCACGGTAGAGAAGGGACATCCTTAGAAAGGATGTAAGTGGTTGATCAGGATCTGATAACTCTGTAATTTCATGAAAGATCCAGTTGTGCTTTTTCAGTAGATGTTTCTTAAGCCAACACTTCCTAATATATGTTTTCCCACACATTGCACAAGAGAAAGAAAGGTCTTGTTTCATGGCATCTATCTGTACATCATCAGTACTTAGATCTTCCAAGTGTGATCTAAAATATCAAAATAAATAATTTTTTTAGTACTAATAATTTTAGATTCATAAGTATGAAAAATGGAGACTTATGGCAAAAATATTAAAGACTGGTGAAAACTTGACTCTATTTGATCATGATCTTTTTGCTTGGGTGAGCTTATAATTGCATCTATCCAAGGAATAGCACTCATAAAAATACAACATTTGGTTCATACAAGAAAAGGGATTTTAACCTTATGTCTAAGAAACTTTTCCAGGAATTTAGGCCAAGTGCATTAAGAACATCTGTGGCAACATTGGTAATCCATTCCATTTTGTTGTCATTGTTCATTAATGAAAAAACAGGAGCATGTGAGGGTTGTGATGTAACTTCCTCCATGTCCATGATGTCCAAAAATGTTGACACAATGTAGGAATCTGTCACATCCTGGATGAATTGATGATGGGATCTAAAGGAAAATATAACAAGGCACACATTATTAACATTCTTTTTTATCTGTTGTTATTTTCAAATTCATATTGCAAAATACTTGACTTGGATAGTTCAACTTACCTGAAGTTATTTGTAACTTCCTTTGACCCAGTCACTGACCGACGGTTGATAGCATTCCTCAGTTTGTATAGGGAACCCTGGTCTGATGCACTGCTCTCAGTGTAGAATAGTTGAAATATTCCCTGAAAAAATATTATTGTGAAAACTGAAGAAATGGAATAGATTTAGACTTAAGACATCTTTTAAGGGTATAAAATTAAAACTTAATCAAAAAAATTCAGAATTGTCTGAAATCTACATAATTATGCAGATTAAGTAATTACATGTAATTTATCAATAAATATGCAACTTGTACCATGTACAAAAGGATTAGTTGTTAGTAAAAACTAGAACTATAAAGCAATAAAATCAAGTCATGCTAAACAAAAAAACATTGGAATGGCCTATGATGGGCTACGACTCCCAGTTTCTGAAACCTATGTATACTATCTACATGTACATGATGTACTAAGATAATTTAAGGAACTGATAATATATACCAATAATTGGAGGGCAACAAGTGATAAATGAATGATAGTAATGAAATTCATGCTGAAAAAATGGAAAATGCAGTTTATGACCTACTAAAATTTTAAAGCCAAATTGATAATCTGGATGCAAAGAACATGAGCAAGTCTGCAGAGTTTCACAATATTTCCACCTATTTGTCATTGCAAAGTTAAAGATGAAAATATGTATGGCACTTCATGTGTAAGTAAAATTATAAGTACTATATTATCTCTGCAAAATACTTACTCTAATTCATAAAAGCAAAAACAACTGGAACTAAAACATTCCTGAACAGGGTGTGTTACCAATAAGAAGTTCATCTCCCTGTGAAAACCTTCTGGCCTGTGAACAAGCCCCCCAAGCATATCATAATCTGATTTTGCATTTTGCATGGCTTCTTGAGCTGTAAATGCTCGCTCATTGGTGAGAACATCTCCACCAAAAACAACCCTGTCCATTATTTTCTGATCTTTTTCAACAGCTTGGAAAACCAGTTTATTCACATTTTGCAAAATTGTTATCATTCCCTCTGATGAATTTTCACTAGCTTCTACTAAGTCACAATTCAGAATGACTGATTTCTGTCGAGTTTTGTCCATAAAACAACCTGGCACACACTTTTGTAAGGGTTTCAGAAAATCGACATAGGTAATAAGGACTTTAATAATATGAAATTTCATATTTTCAATCAATGTGTGCAGGTCACCTGAAGATGGTAACCATGCACTGGTTGGTAACTTCAAAATATCCCTGGTTTCTCCATTCTCTTCTGTTGATCTAGGGTGTTTATCATCTGACATGATCCTCTTCTCTTTCACCATTGTCAGAAACCAATGCAAGCTCTTTCTCTGAGACATCATTGTCATCTTAGCAGGAGTAATTGTGACATCTAAATTGTCCCCTATGATTTCTATGCCATGTTTAACATCTAAGAGTCCTGGATTTTCAGGTGAAGGGTAATAAGAATGTAAATACCTTGTCATTGTTGCTGACACCTTCTTCTCCTGCTCTTTGATCAGCTGTTTCTTTTCTTTGTTGACAGTGCTGCTTGCCACAGAAATTCCAAGGTCATGAAGAATTTTCAAACCCTAAAACCAATGAACAGTATTATTTTTGATTCACACCTTTTTTAATAGATATTTGACTACATCAGGATTAACGTGACTTTTTTTTTTAAATTTCAATCCAATTTTAATAATTTTTAAAACTAATTTTAAATACCTCCTTTGACACTCCACACTTGTCTAGTGTTAGACCAAGGATGTACTGTAACTGATTTACTGATCTTGATCTGCCATAAAGAAGTACACCTATTGACATTATTAGCACTGGAAGGTTCTGCTTCTTTTTTACATCTATCAAACTGCTCATAATGGTAAACAGATAAGGAATCCCTTCCTTGAGTTTTGATTCCACAAAAGACCAGTCAAGATTCATCATACTTTCACTCTTTTTGCATTTTAATAGGGCACTTTTTTTGCTAACTACACAATCAATTTCTTTTTTCATCTTTTTTACACACAACTGAAATAATGCATCCATATAGCTGGTATCTTTGCATAAATTCTTCAGGACAGCATGAGGTGATCTTCTGTTAAACAGTGATTTTAAGGCTGCCTTAGAATTTTCATCTCTTACTACTCTACTTACATCAGCTCCAGCAATCTTGGTGACAATCTACAATGGAACACTGAAAAGTTTATGTATTTTGTATATATGTACATATTCTATGAAACAAAAGCATCATCACAGATGACATGAAATGATGTATAGTTCACATATACATGTAACAGTTAGAACTCTTGCAATAATGTAGATTTTCATATCTTCAATATTAGTAACATAAAGATTGAAAGTGTCAAAGTGAGTAGTTTAATTTCATTTGCCCTTCTTCTTAATCAAGAAAATATGGGATAGTCATTTATGAATTTAAAGTAGTGACCAGATATTGGACAGTAAAAGGCAAAGGCTGCATGACCCTAGCCCATTGAAAAATTTATCAAAAATTACCTTTACATCAAAATTTTCTGACACATGTGTTTGTGTTGATTTATCCTCCTTGCATGGTAACTTTGACTGGAGACTATGATTTGGGTTCTGGTGCAGAAGTAGTTTGTCAGGTGTTTTAAAGAGAGCTTTTTTACTTTTTCCTCTTGGTGTTGGTGTCTTATCTAGGGACCTCTTCACTGCACTTACCCTGGGTAACATGCCCACTTGTCTGTTGATGTTGTCTTAGAACATCTTAAAACAAATTATAAATCCCTGTGTAAATTTATGTATGCAATGCTTTTATAAACAAGGCAACAATTTCTAGATTTTTAAATAGCTGGCAGAACTTTTTTGTTTAACAATAGAACTGATATCGAATTCAAGCCCTCATTCTTTGATAAATATTTATACACTGTTATAGACACCTCTTCATGAGAAGTAGGTCAAAATGTTTCCAAATTTGTCTGAATCCAAATATCACATACCTAACAACTTTTCCCTCTCAGTTTTCAACTGCTCCACCTTTGCTCGCACACTTTACTCGATCTTGGATATTCTATTTAATTTATTGGTGCATAGATTACACGCATATGAATTGCTGGTCGGGAAAAAATTTAACCTTGTAAATGCATAATTATACTGTTCAATTGATGTTTTAGAGCTTAATGCTCCATATCCCCTGTCCTTTATAACACATAAGCAAAAAGAGCATTCTTTTACGTGCCCCGAGGCTGCCATAGTTTACAAACACTATCAAACAGCAACATGACATTATTCTCATGGGCGCCGCCATTACTGTATGCCTAATTTGATAACGTCGATTTTCATTGGCCCTCGAAAGGTCGCATTAGGTTACGCATATCAATGAGTCTAGCGAAATTTTCGGCCTTGTGTCCCACGGGAGGTAAGAGAAGCGAGACCGACCGTGGGTTTCCGACGATGTATTAGATCATTCAGATGGTGTAACTAAGCTTATACTGAGTAATTTGGATAAAGACTGGAACACAATCAGCTCACCTGAGCTTAAAGCTCGAGTGAGCTTTTCTGATCACATGGAGTCCGTCCGTTTCTAAACTTTTCACATTTTCAACTTCTCAAGAACCACCGATTCAATTTTAACTAAAGTTGCTACAAAGTATCCTTGGGAGAAGGGGAGTTAAAATTCTTAATATGCAGGGCCAAGCCCCTTCCAAGAAAAGACAAAAATAGGGTGGGGTCATTAAAAAATCTTCTTCTCAAGATCCACTGGGCCAGTATAGCTGAAACTTATGTGAAAGCTTCCTGAGGTAGTGTAGATTCCAAGTTTTCAAATTATGGTCCCCGGGAGTAGGGTGGGGCCACAATGGCTAATCAACGTATATAGAAAACATAGGTAATCAGAGATTACAGAGCTAACCTCAACGAATGTTGTCTTTAAGTAAGGCAAAGTTTCACACTAAACTAATAATCTAGTAGTGTGCATCCCTAGATGCAACAATCCCTAGATGCAACATTTATGCAATTTTGGTCTTATAGGGATTGAGGTTACTTGGGAGTGGACTTATCTAAAAACATAAAACTAGTCACTCATCCAGAAAATGTAAGTCAAATCCAGCATCTGAAGCAAGTTTGAGAGTGTTCATCCCTTGATGCATCATCCATGCAAGTTTTGTTCAGATAAGGCTTATAGTTACTTGGAAATGAAATCTGCTCCAAAAACTTTAACCTGGTCACTAATCCGGAAAATGTAGGTCAGATCCAGCATTTGAAGCATGTTCAGTAGGCTAGTGTGCATCCTTAGATGTATCATCCATGCAAGTTTGGTCAATATAGGGCTTATAGTTACTTGGAAATGAGACCTGCTCCAAAAACTTTAACCTGGTCACTCATCTGGAAAATGTAGCTCACATCCAGCATCCGAAGCAAGTTCAGTAGGCTAGTGTACATACTCAGATGTATCATCCATGCATGTTTGGTCAATATAGGGCTTATAGTTTCTTGGAAAATGAGATCTGCTCCAAAGACATTAACCTGGTCATTCTTTAGCTGAAATTGCAGCATCTGAAAACTTGACTGGTACAATGAAACACACTAGAAGCATCCTCCATGCATCTCTGATTAATATAGGGCATAGAAGTACTTGGTAGTACTACTTCAAGGATATTCCTATGAAATACTATTAAAATGAAATAGCTGATGCTTTGTCCCGCCGTCCGTATCCTGAGACAACAATTACGGTAGAGGACCCAGAAGACATTATCCCATCACCTGATGTACAGTGCTTCACCCCCGTAGAGGAAGAAAAAGGTACACAAGCAACGTTTTTCTATGCCGACCATCAGCGACCATTCCCTAAAACCATGGAAACAGAAACAATATACCCCGTGGACACTACTTCTATTGGTGATCTTCAACAGAGCTGTTCCAGATTTCAAAGCTTTGTACAACTATTTCTCAGATAAGGATCTACCAGAGGACAAGAAATGCAGAGATAGACTACTCAGTGAATCCATTTTTTATGTTTTTTTTGATGGCGTTCTTTACCATTATTACCAACCAAGATCCAAAAGGGCACGTCATCCAAACAATCACCTTAAACAACTGGCAGTTCCACGTTGTCTCAGAGAAGATGATATACGGTCATACCATGATAGTCTTGCAGGAGGTGCACATCTTGGATTTGAACGTACATACCGTGCCATCCAGTTAAAATATTATTGGCCTGCTATGTATCAAAATATAGCAGATTATGTCAGATCCTGCAGAGAATGTCAATTGTCCAAAAGACCAACACATCATGCTCCAGCACCATTGACACCAGGTGACAGATTTTCCCGAATCCACATGGACATCCTTGGCCCACTTACCAAAACAACAGAAGGACATAAATATATACTTCTAGTTGTGGATTCTTTCAGCAAATGGCCAGTTTTTTAAGTGTTTGTTCAGACATTGAGTCACCATACATTGGTGTGAATAAATTTTTTAGTGTCTCATAGATTGCAAACTTTTGTTTAGTGTATATATACAAGTCTTTTAAAAAAATTTTGACACATTACTTTTATTATCTACGAGCTTGCCACTTATGTAGGATATTTTTCATTTTTATCTTTGAGGACAAAGATTTTTCTGACCAAGAGGGAATTATCCTAGTGTAAAATCGACCCTCTGATATTTTTTTAGTATAAATTTAGTATAAATTTATTATCAATTTCAAATTATTTTTATTTCATTAATTTTTATTTACCAGTTGGTATTTTTATTTACTGCAATTAAATTCATGGCTTTGGATTTAGAAGAAATAATAACTTGAGGCCCTTTGTCAGTTTTCTTGAGAAAAGTTATGAAATCAATTAGTGTCATCCTTTCGTGTAAAATCTGAGCTTTTCTTAGTTTTCCGCAAATGGAACTTTGTTTTCTTAATTACTTAAATTGTATTTTGCCGTAATTAAAGCCCTATTGTTAATCTTCCGTTTGATGTCGAGTATGAGTCCTTTTAGATTAACGCCCCTTTGTAACAATTAGTGGCAAGAATAACTCAACACCTGGACAGGGGACGCTATCGGGTTTTTGTCCGATCACTTTTGCGACGGACATTCACGAATAA